GTTTGGACAGTTTGCTCCAGCAAAAGAACGCATCCTTGAGATCCTTGGCTGGAATGATGCGGCTTTCCTCCTTGTCCTCATCCTCCCCTGACTCCTCAGAAGTTAAGCTCCGCTTCAGTGTCTCGTTTTGTTCTTTGTGAAGCTCAAGCAGCTCCTCAGTGGACAGTTCCTTACTGTGCTCTTCCACCAACTCCTCAACATCATCATCATCCACTTCCAGGCCCATGGAATTGCCCAGACACACAATTTCATGAACAACAGCCTCTTCTTCTAACTCTTCGAAGCCCTCAAAGTCTCTTTGAAGCACACATTCAGGCCACAATGGCCTCCAAGCAGCACAAAGACACCTCACAGTAACCTCTTTCCAGGCTGAGGTAATTAAAAAAACAGCGTCTGTAATATTGAAGTGACTCTTCCAAAATTCCTTCAAACTAACATCACTGGAAGAAGTGGAAGCAAAAATATTTTCTAAACAGTGCCTTTGTGTACAGCTTCTTAAAGTTAGAAATTACCTGTTGATCCATGGGCTGGATGAGAGGTGTTGTGTTGGGTGGCAAGAAGTGCACAGTGATGAAGTTGAACTCCTCTGGCAATTCAACCATCAAATTAGGAGGGTGGGCTGGTGCATTGTCCATCACCAACAAAGCTTTCAGTGGAAGATTATTCTCCCTGAGGTATTCCCGAACACTGGGTCCAAACACCTCAATCACCCACTTGGAGAATAAATTCCTGGTCACCCAAGCCTTTGGGTTTGACCGCCACATAACACCAAGGTGGGTCTTCCTAATGTTTTTGAAAGCTCTGGGGTTTTCTGCATGGTACACAAGGAGTGGCTTTATTTTGCAGTCACCAGAAGCATTAGCACAAAGAAGGAGGGTAAGCCTGTCTTTCATTGGCTTATGGCCAGGGACAGAAGTTTCCTCCTTGGTAATTATGTACGGCAAGGCATTTTTGTCCATAAGAGTTCAGTTTCATCACAGTTGAATACCTGCTGAGAAACAAAGCTTCCCTCTTTAATTACATTCAAAAAAATGTCATGGTGTTCCTTAGCTGCTACCTTATCTGCACTAGCAGCATCACCATGTCTCACAACATTATGTACTGTAATTTATTTCTCCTTCTGAAACCAGTAAACCACCCCTTGGTACCCCTAAACACTGGCACATCACTATCACTTGTACTGGGAGTCTTGGCTTTAAGGTCCTCAAACAATTGTCTGGCCTTCTCACAAATTATAGCTTCACTAATGCTATCACCTGCCATTTCTTTCTCCTTTATCCACACTAAGAGTAAATTTTCCGTCTCCTCAATCACATTACACCTTGCTTTGCTAAGTTTTAAGATTCCCTTAGCCACTTGCACAGTTTTTAACTCCTCTTTATTCTTTAAAATCGTACATACTCAGTGGTCCCTCGTGTTAACGAACACAATCCGTTCCAGCAGGTTGTTCGTTAACCGAAAAATTCGTTAACCGAAACTATTGTTTCAATGGGTTTTTGGGTAATTGGTTCCAGCTCACCGAAAATTGCCTAAATTCAACAAAAATGGTAGAAAAGTTCACTTACTTTGAGGTGTGTATGTAGAAGGCTCCTGGATGATGATGATGGGAATTAGAATGGGGGTGGAGGAGAAGAAAGAAGAGAAGGCATTGGGGTGGAAGAGCAGTCACCCCATGGCACCATTTCACCCATAAAATTTTAGTTCTCTTGGTGTATTTCAAGATTATTTTCTTTAAATCAACACTGCACTGCATCATATATTGTCAATATGTAAAATATATTTCAAAATGACCAATAATTTGCTTGGAAACACAGAAAAAAAGCGTTTAGTTGAAGAGAGTCTCAAGCAAGATGTTACCTCCAGTGAAAACAGAGAGAGATTAATGCCTGTTTGCTGTGTTAAGAGGCTGGATGCCGCGCATTAAACTAGTCACTTTACCTTCAATTATGTTCAATAATTGTTAAAATGACTAAAAAATTGAATATTAAACTTTTAAAATTATTGAATAATATAAACTTCTTGATATTTACTAAAATAGTAAGGAATTTAAGCCCCAGAACTGATTAATGTATTGGTTGACCGGCCAGTGCAAGCGAAAACATGTTGAGGTCGGTTCGTAAGAAATTCGTTAACCGAATTTTTGTTCGTTAACCGAATTTAAGAATCTTATGGGAGGCAGTTCGTTAACCGAAATTTCGTTAACCGAGGGACCACTGTAGTCGATTTAGCCATCCCATACTCATCACTAAGTTTCGCAATGCTTGTTCCATCCTCACGTTTCTTTATAATTTCTTTCTTAGTTTCAAGAGTTATGAGCTTTCCCACTCGCTTTGGACGATTCATTGTTACAATTCTACACTTGTATAACAAAATATTTATACAAATAACTCTATTTCCACATCAAAAGATGAAATTTGAACAATAACAGTGGTGCACTGGCTACACAATGAGACAAAGATGGGCCTGACGCTCTTGTTGTGAGCCGCTGTACAACAATATTCATGCGCCAGACGAAATAGTCCCGTATTCATCCGCGTTCGTTGTAGGAGTTGCGTTCGTTATAGCATTCTCAATTTTATAGGTAAAAACGTTCGTTATAGGAATATTCGTAGTAGGATCCGTTCGTTATAGCATACCCCACTGTATCGTCAAGACCAACATATGTGGCGTTGTCCTAACTCGTCCCTTATCCCAAGACAAAGAAGAGACGGCAATAAGGTAAGAAATAAGTGATTCCATCATATGGTAAGAGTCAATTAGGTTAGGTTAGGTTTGGTTTATGTTTTTCTAGTGTTTTTTGGTGTATTTTGTATTCACTTAGCCATTATTTGGTATTATTGCGTTTACACACAGTTCATTCCTACCACTAATCTATTATCATATCCGAATAAGACGTCTAATTATAATATAATTTTCATCTATTACATTACCGGCGGAAATGTATAATAACGGAGATAGCTTTTCCAAAAAAATTTCTGTTTTCTTCCATTAACCTCCCGCCATTATCGTCTGCCTCTCACCCAAAACTGCGTGTCTCTTGCGTCTCCTTCATACCCGTACACGTCATGCGGCCAATCAAAAGCGTTTTTACTTTTGGAACCAATTAAAATTATTTTGGGATTAATTCAGAGTATATTTGGCCCAATCAAAATCGAGTTATATTTTGGGTCTCTCATATTTTGAAATTCAAGTTCAGTTTCGACCATGGAAGTCTGCGATGGATGTCACTTAAAGTATATGGAGCTGATTGCGAGTTTTTGGGAAAAAAACGCAGAAACTATAGCATTTTTTCGATCACATGGTGTTCTTCCAACCTCAGTAAAGTGTACTAAAAGCAAGACTGAATGTAAATATCGCAAAGACCAACATATGTGGCGTTGTGTAAGAATCCCAGAATGCAACGACGAACAAGAACCAGGCCAATAAGGTAAGAAATAGGTAACTCCATCATATGGTGAGAGTCAGTTAAGTTAGGTTAGGTTTGGTTAAGTTTTTGTTTTTCTAGTGTTTTTTTTTGTAATTTTTAGTCGATTAGCCACTTTTTTCGTTAAACGAAAAAAATCTCTAAAAAAAAAAGGCAAATTTCCGCCCAAAATGAAGGTCATATTCGGTCTAAACACACACAAATACACTAAAAAAATATATATATTTTACTTGCTAAACGTGAACGGTGAGACAATGAAAATTTACCCATTATTTTTTTTGGAAAACGTCTCACGAAAAAAAATAGATAAAAAAAAGGGGTATTATTTTCTTGAGCTCCATTCATTCCTACCACTAAACTATTATCATATTCGAATAAGACGTCTAATTTTAAGATAATTTTCATCTATTACATTACCGGAGGAAATGTATAATAACGGAGATAGCTTTTCCAAATAAATTTCTATTTTCTTCCATTATTTCCCGCCATTATCGTCTGCCTCTCACCCAACACTGCGTGTCTCTCGCGTCTCCTTCATAAATCATGACGCGCATGCGTACCCGTACACGTCACGCGGCCAATCAAAAGCGTTTTTGCTATAATTCAGAGTATATTTGGCCCAATCAAAATTGAGTTTTATTTTGGGTCTCATATTTTGAAATTCAAGTTCAGTTCCGACCATGGAAGTCTACGATGGATGTCACTTAAAGTATATGGAGCTGATTGCGAGTTTTTGGAAAAAAAACGTAGAAACTATAGCATTTTTTCGATCGCATGGTGTTCTTCCAACCTCAGTAAAGTGTACTAAGAGCAAGACGGAATGTAAATATCGCAAAAACCAACACATGTGGGGTTGTGTAAGAATCCCAGAATGCAACGACGAACAAGAACCAGGTCAATAAGGTAAGAAATAGGTGACTCCATCATATGGTGAGAGTCAGTTAAGTTAGGTTAGGTTTGGTTATTGTTTTTCTAGTGTTTTATTGTGTATTTGTTAGACGCTTAGGCCCCCTTTTTTCTCGGAAACGTCAAACGGAAAAAAAAACGCAAAAACCCGGCTAATTTCCGCCAAAAAGGAAGGTCATATTCGGTCTCAGCACACACAAATACACTAGAAAAATATATTTTTAACTTGCTACAAGAAAAATTTACCAAAAATGGTTATATTCGGTCTAAACAAATAAATACAATAGAAAAAATATATTCTTGACTTTCTAACAGAGTGCGGCGCACTTATGCAAATTTACCAAAAACTATCCATTTCCGCCAAAAATGAAGGTCAGATTCGTTTAAAACTCACCAAAGTGCAATGGAAAACATATTGGTCAACCCCAAACGACTCATGTCCTAAAGTAAAAATTTACCCCAAAAAATATTCTCATACCCAAGGAACCAGCCGCCCTAACCTAACCCACAAGGAACAGGGCCTCCAAGAGAGGAGTATAATTTCAGCTTCAAGTAAACAAAACGGGATCCTGGCACAGACAATGGACGAAGAAAAAATGAGAAATAAAGTCATAAAATCACAAATAAGACCGTTAATAATACTGCACTAGGAGTGGTTGTGAGGACTTACCGTGGTGGTGGTCTTCGTCAACAGCCAAGAGAAATTATTCCACCCAGACAGACCGAGTTTGTGTACAAGATGACGTCACACTGCCTTCATATTTAACCTGAAATATATGAATATAATTATTATTAAAATACATCTAATCAATATATGTATATAATATTATAAGTTATATATTATCCACAATAAACTATTATACTGAGATGTAATTACGCTAAAATATATAATTATCTTTTTCATGACATTCATATTACAAAATATTAATTCGTGTCTGATAAATTAAATACATGTCACTTGAAATATTAAATCCTGATGCTTCTAAATTGTATAAATACGGCCTGGTTTTGCAAAACATACCACCGGGGTAAATGTTTGCTGCAAATAATCTGCCGGAGGTGAAATTCCCAGACGACGCCCCTTCAACAGAAATATTTAAAATTGTCACCGAGAATAGCCTGGGAATAACCAAACCACAGGAGCACACAACCAAACCAGTCATATAAGAAAACGTGATGGAAATGACCCAATCAGCCAACCAGTCACACTGTAGTGGATTTCTCCGCTACAAACGCTGTTTGTCGCTGAATACCCGACCCCGCGAGTTACTCAGTGTATGCCTTGTGGTCTGGGTCAACCAGCGCCGCCATACATCACGGAGGTCAACTACTAAGCCACGCCTACCCCCGCTATTTAAGACCTGACCTCGTGGTGACCTCTTCTTCTAGCTACAGCCGCAGCGAGCAACACCACCTCCTCCGCCGCTGCCTGGCGCCCTCGCTCTCGCCGGCGAGCATGGCGACCCACAAGCTGGTCCTCTTCTGAGCACCCTCACCAACCAGCTCTCTCTACATCACGCTTGTAACCACGCTGCCACTTCCCAGCACCAAGCTGCACTGTACATCCAATACAACATGTATACAGAGAGCACATTTGAGTTTCCTTTCTCCATCCCATCCCGAGTGTGAACCCAAACATCACGTACCCCACAACACCACACCACACCACAAATCATCAGATTCCACAACTCAGCAAAAGTTGCAACCTGCAAAAGTTGACCCAACCAAAGGGAAAACAAGAAAAGAATCCCACGCTGGCCATCGTGACCCCCCATCTTCACCAAGCGATGTGCAGCCAGCAGACCTAGGAGATGAGATCGGTATCCATCTCTACTCAGTCAACACACCACCTACAATATCAAATGATAGACTTCTGCAGGAAATCAAGGAAGGCACAGTCAAATTCACCTACGAAGATGTTAGGGTAGAAGAATCCTACATAGACTCGTTGATAAATGCAGGACTAATGAACACCAAATATAACAAAATTCAAAGAGTAGACATAACTTAATTTAAGAAAATGAGAACGGGATCAAAGGAATAAAGGAATAGACACTCGCCAGGAGATACACGAGCCAGCAAACACCCTGCACCAAGTTCCCGGGATCCATGAATATACAAAACAAATCATTAAAGATAATTCAACACAACGTCCTTGCCTGGACTCTGGCGAGGAAAACAGAATTCATTAACATATACAGCACAAAAGACCCAGACACCATCCTTATCAACGCACACGGGCGAAAAGACAACGAAAAAATTTAAATATTTAATTATCATGTCTACCAAAAAAATATCTACGTAGAGTTACATGATGGGACAGCAATAGCAATAAAACGAACGATTCAACACAAAATAATTAACAACTTCCAAGGTAACTTCTTGGCAGTAGAAATAAACACCACCAAAGGACCAACAATAATAGGAATATCATACCTACCATTCAGTAGACCAATATTCCCGACAGGTGACCTCCTAAAACTAACCAGGCGAAACAGCCCGGCCTACTTTCTAGGCGATCTGAACTCTCGACACCCAACCCTTGGACATCACAACAGAAACCCCGCTGGAGTAGTACTGCACAACCTAATTGAGCAAGGCAGCATTACACACCTAGGCCCAGACTTTCAAACATTCATAACACCGGGAAACTCTGGGAATCCCGACATAATTCTGACAAACAGACACCATCATTTTCACACACACATAAAGCCTGGACCCGCCAGCACCAGTGACCACATACCCATAATAGTGTAGGGTTATGTGAGGTTGTTGTCTAGCACTCAGGATGGATGGATGGAAACTCTAGGTGGTGGTTTTCTTATATAAAATATATTATATACAAGACAGTCTGGTGCTGGAGATGCCGTGTGGTGAGGAGCTTGCTTAAGAGACACATTCAGTGAGTAGCGTGTTTGAGGAGGTATCAATGCAGGAGCTTCGTTAGAGGAGATGTTGCGTGTTGCTGTCCTCCAGGTTGAATGAGAGCTGGAGGACAGCGAGAAGCTTGCTCGGAGGAGGTGTTGCCTGTTCAGGAACGTAGGGTAGAATGCATCTCAATGGAGAGACTGAGAGCTTATATACACAGCAGCCGGAAGTAAACCCGTGGGAACTCGCAGGTTGATGGGCTCTGTTGCTAGGGCAAACGTTGCAGGTGGCGACCCGTGAGCAGCTCGCTGGTTGCTAGGATACTGTCACATTGGAATGCAGCTCCGCAGTTGTAAGGGAGAGATCCACTACAATACTCCCCCTTCCCTCCAGGCGGTGTAGGAGACTTGTTGTCTGCAGGGTTGCATCCCACATGTGAGGTAGAACGGGCGGTGCAGGAGACTTGTTGTCGGCTGGGTTGTATGCCACATGTGAGACATAACGGCGAGGGCGTGGATGAGCCGGCTGCTACGGGAGACGACTGTTAAGATACACGAAATCTGTGGGAGAAGAGAGGGAGAAGGAGGGTTGTGGAGGTGATGAATGTTGTGCTTCCCTCGCGGCAGGTACAGAGTCCTCAGATGCGCCTGCTGGGGTGTGTGGGTCTGGGTCAGGAGCAGGTGCTGCATCAGGAAGAGGGTCTATCACAGCAGCAGGGTGCAGGACAGTAGCAGGGAGTACCTGAGGGGGAAAAAAAAGGTGTTATACTGCCAGATCTGGGGTCACTAATTCTAAGGGGAAAACTTAACTATAGTCTTAATTTTAAGGGTTGCTGCCACCAGACCCCCTCTGGGCAGTACGTAGCTCGTTAGGTAGCGGGCAGAATGGACTAGGCATTGACATTCATTGCGCACTGTG